AAAGTGAAAAATGGCTGCTCTGACTTGGGCATTTTGAAAAGTACCCCCACATTGGATGTATTATTATGGGATAGAGATAAGAGGTATTTGGTTTTCGTCGTTGAAGCATGCCACCGTTTAGCAACAAAGGAGTCCGGTGTCGGATACCTAAATCATACAAATAAGTTATCAGATTGTTCAACAACAAAGCCATCTTTGTCTCACACTTAGTGCGTGTCTATTGCGTGTGCGTGAAATGATGCAAATGCGCATAGTCCGTTGTTTTTGATTAGTGTGAGAATTTTTTGTTGGAGTTGTACATCCAGAATTAGACATTGACTTGGTTTGTGCCAATTATTACGAATTGGCCATTCAATTGGATGGAGGAGAACTTCGGGTGGGGAAGGAGACAAATGAGATAGAAATGTAAAGGATTTCGCGTTATTCCTTATATTTTATTTTATTTGTTTTTAGGGGTTAAAAACTAGATCTGTTCTGGAACTTAATTGTGGTTGGAAAGTGCAATATGTCATTTGCTTTGAATTTTGATTTCCTGCAGTTTTTAAATGGAACATTGAATCCAATTTCCTATTTTTTTTGTGTATTTATAAAAGACGAGGTTTTCTGTAATCAATTCCTTTTATTTATTTTGTATAAATTCTTTGAAAAGATTTTTCTTTGGTTTGAAATGTGTGACCTAGGAGCTATAATTATAACGTATCATGAATGCATAATGCGACCTTTGACATGACATATGATCAATTACCTATGACCTTAGAGATATAATCAAATATATGTCTAGTTGTGACATATTATCAATGTGAAATGTGATCTATGACATGTGACCACTACCTGGGAGCTATAACAAGATAAATGTCTAGTTGTGACCAGTTATGAATGCAGAATGTGACATGTGACCAATGACATGGGAGTAGTAACTAGATATATGTCTAATTATGACCTATTATCAATGTATAATGTAATATGTGATTGTGACCACCAATGACATGTGAATTGTGATCTGGAAGCTGTAAACATACATGTCTAGTTCTGACCTTTTATTTCGTAGTCACAATTTATTAAATTTATTTGATCAATGCTTATTTTACGGTTATAAATAACAAATTTAATAAGCCACAAATTGGTCATAAGTTATTTCTCGATCACAATTTATAAAAAATTAATTGGTCACGGCTTATATTTTTAATCATAAATCACAAATTTTATGAGTCACAATTTAATTTACGGTCACAAATTATTAAATTACTTGATCACAAATTATCAAATTAATTGATCAAGACTTATTTATCGATCACAAAAATATAAATGGAAGGTCACAACTATAAATTTAATCACAAATTACACATTTTTTATATCAAATATTATTTATTAGTAATATTTTATTCGTTTTATTGATCACAATTGCTCAATAATTGGTCACTACCCCTATCATCACCTCTGCTTCCAGACCACCATTGTATCCTCAATCACAACCACCATCACCACTTCTATATCACATCATCCACCATTACCACCACCTCTACATCAAATCATCCTCCACCACTACCCTAACCACCACCGCCAATCCCACATCGCCAACTGTGCCTCTAATCTGCATCAATCACCACCAAATGATTCACAAATACCTTTAATGCACTAAATTTTTTCGACAGCCATCAACCACTACCGAGGCAATCACTACCAGAACTAGGGGCAGATAAAGCAAGTAATGAAAACCAATTTCTCAGAGGCTTTAGGAGAAATCAAGACTAACATATCCCAACTCCGATTTTATAGGCGGTCGTTGGAGCAAATCGATGCATACTCCGCTTTAGTTATCTTACACAGGTGGTGAGCGAG